AAGAAAAGGCTTTGGAACTTTGATTTTGAACACTTTGAACACTATAATACACCACCTAGTGAGAGCTTGGGAGATAGTGCTGAGAACAACTTGGACTGTAGAGGCTGAATTCAAGAGGTGAACTCTTAGCTGCTCCTCCAGCCTGTTGCTATGCTTTCCTCCATGATAGTAATGGACTTTTATCTCTTTGGAACCATAAACCTCAAATAAATTCTCCCTTCTATAAGTTACCTTGGTTATGCTATATTATTACTGCTGCTTTGAGGACCAGCCTTCAGCAACTCAGGGAATTAGGGAGAAACCATGAAGTCAGCAAACTAATTATTTGATTTAACTTTTCTGTCTGAGGGAGTAAAACTTAATTCTCTGGGGCCAGTGAAAGGGGACAAAGCTTAACTCTCTGGGGCCATCGAAAAAAGGGGAAAAAACATACATACACCTTTAGGGTCTCTCTATCATCTTTTCTTTGTTCTCTTTGTTTCTTTTCTTATCTCTATTCAGATGTATCCCTTCTGTCTCTCTTGATATCTTCCTTCTAACTAATTTTATTTTTGCCCTTACAGCTTATATATCCTATCAAAATTATAATGTAGTTATATTCTATTTTCAACTAAATGATTACAATGAATAAAAGAAAAACATTTTTTCCCACATCCCTTACATGATTAAACATTTTATGTATTACAGGTGAAAAACAATTTGTTACAAGAACACACATACATTCATACCCAAGCAACCTGTTATAGATTAACAGAGTGTAAACAAGCAAGGTATTTTTCTCAGCCCATTCTTTTGCTAGCAGGCTGCATTTTGTGGTTGCAAATAAAGGACCAATCATTTTATTACTTATCTCAAAAGGTAATCTTATAAGGAATCTTAGAAGAATCACAAATCTTATCACTTATATATGAAAAAGAATCAGTCATCTCTACTTTAAGTCCTCAGGGTGCGTACCCATTCACCAACAATTTCTTTATATCAAGAAGCTAAGGGCAGAAATGGGTACAAGGAATTAGTCATCACCTTTGGTCACCAACCCATCCTAACAAGAAAGGCATGTCAGCCAGCAGTAGCCCGGCTACCATTGTTCCTGCTCCCTGACCTCAGTAAGTCCCTCACTCAGCTATTAAAAGTATGCCCTTAAATTGTTTTCCAAGATTTTTTCCACCTCAGAGCCATCAACAAAAACTTCTTAACCTAATCTTAAGTCATTATTTAAAGCTTTGTTTTAGCTATGATGCACACCAAAACCTGTGAACATACCTCCCAACATTAAGGTAAAAAGAACCTGAGTTAACTTTGCTTCTGGAACACAATTGTTTTTCTTAATCATTAACCTAAGCCACAGTCTATATGGCTCCTCAAGAGAAACTAGCTGTGTGACATTTCCTTGTTCTTATTTTCTATGCTCTGCAACCCCTGCTTTATCGTGGGTGGGGGCAACACTGTATCTTAATTTTACCTTAATAGCTTTTCCATTATGACCTTTATCATAATCCCTTACTATATTTATTAAAGACCCTCAATCATCAAAATCCTAAAATTTAAACTAACACTATTATTGTATAAAAGCATTGCTTTAAACAGTACAGCTTAGGAGGAAATCATCTTCATAATATCTACAAGTAAAAATGCCCAGTAGAAGGTGATATTTTCATGAGATAATCACTACATTAAAGACAGTGGGGATCCCCCCAACACCCATTCACACCATGCCAGACATCAGAGAAAAATGGCTGTGTGACAAACTTGTGAAGTCACAGCAGTAACAAGAGACATTCTAGGGCCTAAGCCCTTGCTTGGGGCCTTGCCTATTCTAGATTCTCCCATCAGAGCTTTGCTTCCCAGTGGGCCCATTTCCTGAACTTCATTTGCCACCTGCTGCTCCTCTGACATGGCCACCAGCACTGTATTATCACAGCAGTAGAAAAATCTAAGCACCATGGCATGCATGTGGTCAGAAGACAACTTTCAGGAGTAGTTTTCTCATCCCACCTTGAGTTCTGGGGATTAAATTGAGGTCGTCAGGCTTGGGTTGCAAAAGCCTTTATCCACTGAGCCATCCCACTGGCCCTGTTATCATATTCTAAAATGGACACTTGTAATGCTTTAGTTTGATTTTACCTTAATTTTAGTAAAAGAATCTTCTGGGGCCTAGAGACATGGCTTAGTGTATAAGAGCATTTGCTGCTCTTGAAAAGTCTCATGTTCAGTTCCTACTATCTATGTTCAATAACTCACAGTGGCCTGTCACTCCGCACCCGTATCCATGTATATGCATACGTATACTTAGAGACATACACACGCACATATACCTCAATATTTCTTTTAATTTTCTGACACTTTATGTGTATCTGGAATTGTACTTGTTTTAGAGGATTCTTTTTTTCCACCAGCAGGGTTCCTCCAACAACGTTTACAGGCTCAGACCTCTACATTGCTGAACAAGCTTCTGTATGTGTGCCTATTCCTTAGATAAGTGGTGGGAAAGTGTGAGGCACTTCTGACACATGTTATTTGGTCAGGAATTTTTTAATAAAACATAATTGAACGATGGGCCTCTTCTTTATAGCCTGCCAGGAGAATTACTTTCCCTTAGCCAATTAGAATTTTTATTAAGGTAACAGGGAGTACCTGTCATAATTGAAATACTGTGAGTGTGCATGTGTGTGTATGTGTTGCTTTCTTAAGACAGTCTTGATGGGCATTGAAGACTGGCCTGGAGCCTGCAGCAGATCTTCCTGCCCCCACTTCTCTAGTGCTGGGATTACAGGCTGGTGAGCAGTAGAGCTGGCTAGTTATGTGTGTGTGCATAAATGTGCTGCGGTTCTCTGGATGCCTGTGCCAGTGGAGGTAGAAGTCAGCCTCACCCATCGCTCTTTAGGAGCCATCCATCTTGTTTTGTTTTCTAGGTTTTTACCACATTGATTGATTAATTAAGGTAGGTGCATGTGAGCACAGGCAAGTGTAAGCATGAACAAGCACATGCAAGAACAAGCATGTGTGTCTTACCATACAAATGTGGAGATGAAAGAAAACTTGTTGAGAACTGATTCTCTCCTTCTACCATGTGGGTCCCAAGAGCTGAGCTTTGGTTATTAGGCTTGGCGGCAAG